CAATTATAATTTGTGCAAAATAAACCACTAGTCATAGGCATACACATATACAGGGAAAAGCTATAAAAGTAAATATGACCTTAAAAGTCTGCCACTTTCTTTCTTTCTTAACTCAAGTCTTCTTTAAATTTTTACTTCACTGGAGGAAATATTTGCTCTAGAGAGTGTATCTCTCAAAGGTAGAGGCATGCTATTGGCATTTAGGGAAAGACAATTCATTGGGCCAGACTGTGCCACACATAGATGTTTAGTTCCCTTGGCCCTACCCAGTGAGGGCAATAAAGATGACTTCAGGAGTGTAGCATGGATAGCAAGCAACTACAGCTGGGCATTGCCTCCCTGGAAGAGAAAACAGGGTGACTCCCAGTAGAATGTAAGCCCAGAAGATAAATTAAGGTTGATTGCAAGAAATAAGATTGCATTTCTTGCACATGAGTTTGGGGATGAAGCTTGGCACTCAGTTAACTCCTATGTACTGTAGTGGAAAGAATTCAGGATTAGGAACAGCATTGCCATGGACATGAATACAACACCCAGGGGAGCACCAGTCAAATCATATGCATTACAGCCTTGTATGTTCATTAAGACAGATTTTCCATTAATGGAAATGTCTTGAGAGGGAGGCACTTTTTCTAATTTGAACGAAGATGCCATATGGACTAGAGGCGGCCCTTTTAGGAGTTTGAAGACCTTGGGATCTATGCTTTTTATGTCACTTAATTGCTATGTACCATTTTCTCATCTTTCAAAAGATATAAAGCAAAACTGTTAGAGGACTGGTAAGTCAGCTGACTGGAAAGAAGGTAAAAACAAAAAGTAAAATGAAACATGTATTTTTGAGAAAGTGACTGCATGATACTTTAAATTTCTTTTGAATTTGAAAGGAAGATCATGTGGTTAGAGAGAGGTTCTGAAACTATCTTAGTTCATGAACCCTTAGTTCCTCAGTAATTTTTTCATTGTGCTCCCTAGGTCTAAAGAAATACTGAATAGGTTTGTTATTGCATAATTAAGGTAGAAACAGCATATTTCTGACCTAAAAACTCAGTAACTTTAAAAAAATAATGCACATAAATGGAAAGAAACATATTTTTGTATTATTCTTAAATAATCATACTAACAGATGTGTGCATGCCTAGCACAGCACAATTTTTCAAACCTTAGAAACAGACTGAATATTGTCACCAGTCTTTCCTGTTCCACATTGACAGGTACTTCATTTTTATCACAGCAACTTGCAAAAACCTACCTTTCCAATGATGTGACATCATCTAAAGCAATGTAGTGCAACCTAATATTGAAATATGCAAACTGCCCTAAACGAGTACATTGCACAATGTCTAACACATGCCAAGTTTCTCTCAAAGTTTGTCCCATAATCCCTTGTGAGTTCACTATGGCATTTCACTCCCAGAGGATCTCTGTGCACTGTTTAAGACAAAGGGATTAGGACAACAAAACCCTAGACACATTGAAATTAACTGTAGTAAAGGTGTTTGTAATGGCCTAATACTCATGACTTTGAAAAGCTATTATTAAAAGTTCAGCACTAAACAGCCTGTTTATTTTCTTTTGGGCACTTGAGATAATGTCTTCAGAAACGTTTTGACAATTCTGAGGTGCTGTAGCAACAGTATTTGTAAAATTAGCTGGTGAAAGAGCTGTCCACTAGAATGTAAGTTCCAAGAGGCCAGGGAGTTTTGTATCCTCAATGTCTAGAATAATGTCTGGGATATTACTAGTCCTTAGTAAGTATTGGATGAATTAATGAAAGAAATATGAAATCATTTACATTTTGAAGTCTTAGTGTTTTTAATAGAGTTGCAGAGTTGGCTTGGGTTTCATGCTTTTCTCTATATTTCCTTGGTCAGTGTCCTTCCAAATGAAACTTAAGCAACAGTGTAGTTACAGCTTTATATGTAAAAGTGTTTACCACACATATTTGCTCAATAAATAGTTAATTTTTTAAAAAGGGAGGCAAAGTATGGATGGTAGTGAGAATATAGGCTTTGGTATAAGACAAATCTGGGTTTGAATTGAGTAATATCAAATTTCAATTATCAAAATTTAATCAAATTATCAAATTTCAAATCAATTATCAAAATTCAATTATCAAATATCTCTGGGTACCAGCTTCTTTATATGTAATATAGGAATAAACATAATATTATGTATGGTTGTTGTAAGGGTTAAATGAGAAAATATATATGAAGCACTTAGTGCAGTGCTTGGAACATATGAAGTGTAAATGAGAGCTATTATCCTGCTAGGCAATTTTCAGTTTACTTGACTCATCTTGTTCCTCACTCAGGAGGTGAGTTTTAGGCATCTGAGTAGAACTGTACATTATACACACCAGGCAAATGCTACTTTAGGACAGCACTGGTCTGGAATGCTTTTCCACTAAACATCCACTTCCTTCCTAAGAGTCTTTGCTCAAATCCACCTTCGTGAGGCATACACAAAATTTCCTATTTATAATTGCACCCCTCCATACTCCTTGCCCTGATCAGCTTTTCTCCCTAGCACTTATCACCATACAATATACTATTTTCTATTTTGTTTTAGTCTGTCCTCACAAGAACATAAACTCCAGGATGGAGGAGATTTTTGTCTTGTTTCGTTCAATGATGTCTAAGGTGCAGATCAGACCCCAACACTGGGTCGTCACTCAATAAATATTTGTAGAATTGAATTTATGTGATTCGAATATATTTCCACTGAATTTTGTAGTTTTTAGTTTGGGTCCATTTAGCTTGTCAGCATCGTTTTAAAAAATGATTGCCTGCTTTCATCCTGCATCTTTAAGTATGACTCATCACTCACATACTATATAACCAGCACTCACTGGGGAAAGCTCCAGGTACCCAGCTCAGTTCAATTAGCTGTGTGACTAGCTGTGTGAACCTCAGCAATTTATTCAGCTTCTCTGTGTCTTGAACGCATCATCTATACACGGGCATAAAAGCCATCTCCATATAACTGTTAATAAGGATTCAATAAGGTAATGTGTAGGGAATGCCTACAACAGTGCCTGGCACACATTCAATAAATATTAGCTGTTATGATTATATTTACAGCCATGTCCAGGACCCTCTCCTCTCAGTCCTATTATGCATCTCTATTGCTCCCATGCTGGGGTATTCATTCTCTCCAGACCCACCCTTTCTTTCATTTCCACCTCTTACCCATCAGTTCTGAAAATGATGTCAAGGTCTCTTCAGTGCCAACTCTTCTCTGTCCTCCTTTTTTTTTTTTTTTTTTTTTTTTTTTTTTTGCATTTGTCATTTGTCATTAGATCCAAACTGTATTCCGAAGCTTCAGCTAATTCCCTGACTAACCTGTGCCTGGACTGAAGCTTTTATGTTTTAACAATATAATTCTAAGAAAAATTCCCATAGAAGCTAGAGGGTAACACTACAAATTTTCTTGGCCTTAATCCAGAACTATTTGAATTCCATCTTTTATCACATAACTTACTCCATTTCAAGTTTTTTTTTTAAGTGTGTCCTCCTTAACATCTCATGCTTGTACTATTTTAAAGAGAAAAACAATTTCAAGTCTTATAAAACAATTTGTTTGCCTTGAAATTTATTTAGAAATTTTAGAAATTTTTGTGTATATGCTCTCTGAGCTTTATGCTGAGTCCAGGGGAAAAGAAAACATGCTCTTCCCTGGATGGGCTGTGCCATCTCATCTTGGGCTGTGAAGTCTGCCCTATCCCATGCCACCAGTCTCAGAAGGAAGCTGCCAGAGAACTTAGCTAAAAAAGGGGGGTAGGGAGTAAAAGGTCCAAAGGATTAAATTTCCGGCTCCCGAAATAACCCCTGACTACTCCTGTCACCTCCAAATCAGGCCCTGCACACTTCTTCATGCTGGCAGAGTGCCACCTCTCTGGCCTGATCTCAGGGGGCCCTGATGAGCCATGGGTGCCCCTTTTTCTCTGCAAGACAGTCCCGTAGAGAAGCTGGAGAGCCCACTGAATTAAGGGTGGACATGCACGATGTATTTTCTCTTTTCTTATACTTTTATCATCTCCTTACTTAATCTCTCTTCTGTCTTATTCTCCATCTGTCTCCAGGCTCCTGAAAGACCCCGTGATAATGTTTTCTAAAACTTAATACTTTGAGTCCCACTATCATGATATTCCCCTCCCATGCTCTGCCTACCCACCCCTGCCCCACCATATCCAAATCCAACCTGTTCTATTTGATAGCTTTTTCACTTAAAAATGTAAAATCTAGCTCTTAATGTATAGCACTGCTTAAATTTAAAATCAGTTTCCTTGCCATAAAAGGAAAGATCCCTGATAAATATAATGAAAACAAAAATATATAGTAATGGAATTTTAGTTAGATTTGGCTGCTTGCTGCAGGCCTGTGCTTAACTTCTGCTGTTAGGTTAAGAAATGCTGAAGAAGTGTTAAAAACATATCAGCATCGAAGTGAGACCTGATCTTCGAAATAAAGACACAGAAAGAGAACCAAACTTCTGTGAAAGTTTGTCGAAATCTGATAGGCTTCCTTCATCCCATTTCCTTCAAGTAAAGCCACTACTTGCTAACTGTGCTAAAAAACGTTTTGCACATTTGTTTTCTATTATTTGCTCACAGCTTTTGACCAACTACCAGAGAATGTTTCGGAAACAGGACTAACTCCTGTGGATGACAGAATGCGACCGCTGAATGGGACACTGGGTGTCACCTGGTCCAAATCTTGACTCAATTTCATTTTCCCCGAAAAAAAGACTTGCGGCTCGGAACCGAAGGAGACATGCCCAAGGTCACAGAAAGGGTGGTCTAATGTTTTGGTTCCTGCAGCCCGGAGAACAAGCTGGCCCATCCCGCGGGAGCCTTGGCGAAAACCTGCCCCGTTGGCGCTACGCCAAACTTCTCGCCTCCACTGTGTTGATGGCGGTTGCCTGGGCAGCGGCGCATTGTTCCCCGCCTCGTCCTGGTGACGTCACGGAGCAGTGTCCAATGGGGAAGGAAAGCGGCGCGGCGTCACGCACCTCCCGGCGAGCACCGCCTGCGCCGCGGCGAGAGAGGCGTCGTCGGTGCGGGAGGCTGGGTCGCGTCGCCGCCGCGGCGGGTTACCATCGTTTTTCCAGTCTGTCGGCGGCCACCGCCGCCCGAGACAGAACCAGAATGTTCAGGATGCTGAGTAGCAGCTTTGAGGAGGACCCGTTCTTCTCGTAAGTTGCGGGAGCCGGGAGCCCCAGGTCGCGCGGGAATTCGGGGATTTTGAGGGGAGCTTTTCTGAGGGAAAAGAGCGAGTTTTAGAGGGCGAAAGAGAATTCGGTGTAACTCAGGAGGCAGTTTGAGGGAGACGAGAATTGGGAGGCCTGGGAGGGAAGGGAGAGGGAGACTTAGTGGTGTGTGAGAGAGGGAAGAGAAGGATTTGGGCGCGTGAGGTGGAGATAGGAGGGTTTGGATGTGTGAGGTGGGCGGAAGTTTGGGGGCGTGAGGTAGGGGGAGGAAAGTTGAAGGTATGAGGGGGGGGCAGGAGGGTTGAGGGTGTGAGGCGGGGAAGGGGTTTGAGCTTGAAATGAGGGGAGAAGGGTTGAGGTGGGGGAAGGGTTTGGGAGTATGAGGTGGAGGGAGGAGGGTTGGGGAGTGAGGTAGGGAAAGGGTCTGGGAGCATGAGTTGCTGGGGAGGACGGTTGAGGGCGTGAAGTGGTGGGAGGAGGGCTTGGGGGAGTGAGATGGGGGGAGGGCTGAGGGCCTGAGGTGGACAGAGGCGGATTTGGGGGCATGAGGTGGGTTTGGGGGTGTGAGGTGTGAGAGGAGAGTTGAGAGCATGAGGTGCGGAGGGGGTTGAGGGCCTGAAGTGAAAGGGGGAGGGTTTGGGGCGGGAGGTGTGGGAGGAGGGTTGAGGGTGTAAGGTGGAGGAGGGTTTGGGAGCGTGAGGTGCTGGGGAGGGTTGAAAGCCAGAGGTGCAGGGTGGAGGGGAGCAGGGTTTGAGGGTGTGAGTTGGTGGGGAGGGTTTGGGAGCGTGAGATGGGGAGAGGAGAGTTGCGGGCACGAGGTGGATGAGGAAGATTTGAGGGCTGAGGAGGGCTGGGGGTGTGAGATAGGGGAAGGAGGGTTGTGGGTGTGAGGTGAGGGGAAGGGTTGAGGGCGGAAGGTAGAGGGAGGAGGGTTTGGGGGAGTGAGGTGTGGGAGCAGGAGGGTTGAGGGTGTGAGGTGGACTGAGGAGAGTTGATGGCCTGAGGTTAGGGGAGGAGGGTTGAGAAAGGGAGATGGACAGAGAGCTGAGGGTATCAGGTGTGGGAGGAGGAGGGTTTGGGAGCGTGAGGTGGAAAGAGGGCCGAGTAGTCTTCCTCCCTCACGCTGCCGGTGTGCCTGCTGCTCTCCACTTGGTCAGACTTTGGGTGCCCGCCATAGCTTCCCATGTCCAGAGGCCGCCTTTGCAGCTGCAAGGGCTTTGCAAGTGACGTTAACTGCTATCTCTGTGAAGCTTCTGGTGAGAATTACGTTCACATAATTGCAAATGGGAGCAGGGAATACTTTACAGCTCCCCTTTAAACTGCAAATAGGAGCAGAGAGTATGTTATAGCATGGCAGTTCGTTGAAAAGGGCAAGTTTTTTTTTTTTTAAATAGCATTTTCCCTGTGAGTGGGGAATGTGTCTGTGAGAGCACAACAAAGGTGGAGAGTTGTACTCTCTCTTCGAAGGTGTTGGAAGTTTCCAAGTGCGCTGTTTCCTTTGCTTACTTTGTTACAGAGCTAACCTTGTTTGTGAAGTGACTCGTCTTTCTGTCAAAACTAGAAATAGGACAGGGAAGCTGATGAGGGATCGGTGTATTGAACACCTCAGGGAAGCAAGTGCCATTCATTGCCTTTTGAAGGTTCCCCGTGAAATAATGAGATGCCCTAGGAAGAAGGCATCCAGAAATTAGTTTCACTATGATTTATTTTTCTGAGTTGTGAGGTGTTTTTTTTTTAATTCTAACTTTAGCGATTATTATAAACATAATGGCATAGTCTAGTTGCATCCTTAAGAGGAGAAATTTGTCATGCTTTTTAGCTCAAGTGTGTTTTGCCAGTTCGAATTTTGAATTCATGTCTAGTTTATTTTGATCGCTTAAATATTCTAGGTTTGCAATTTGGAGAGCATTTTTAAAAAGGTTTTAAAATAACAGTTTATTGCATATATTTTTCAAACAATGTGTGTGGGGGTGGGGGCGGGGAGTTGTGTGTGTTTGTTTGAGACAGGGTCTCTCTGTTTCCCAGGCTGGAGTGCAGTGGCAGGGTCTGGGCTCACTGCAGCCTGTACTTCTCAGGCTCAAGGGATCCTCCTGCCTCAGCCTCACAAGTAGTTGGGAACACAGGAGAGAGCCACCAAACCTGGCTAATTTTTTTATTAGAGACGGAGTTTCGCCATGTTACCCAGACAGGTCTCAAACTCTTGAGCTCAAGCAGTCTGCTTGCCTCGGCCTCCCAAAATGCTGGGATTACAGGCCTGAGCCACTTTGCCCCAGCCAATGTTTTTGTTTAAATAAATGATTAAACTTAAATGTGTTTGTACTAATTTAAAACAAAATAACATTAATAATTAAAAAGATAATGAACAGTGGGAAAAGGAAATGATTAATATAGAAAAAATGATTAACTTCTTTTCTGAAGCTTATTTATTAAGGCATATGTGAACTCAGGCAAATTTATTGTGCCATTTTATTTAACTTGTTTAGGAGCTGTGTGGGATACAGACAGTGTTATTTTAACAAGCTTAAATTTTTGTATTATTGTGATTCTCTCTTTTGAAAGCTAGAGGTCAGGCACGGTGGCTCATGCTTGTAATCCCAGCACTTTGGGAGGCCAAGCAGGGTGGATCACCTGAGGTCAGGAGTTTGAGATCAGCCTGATCAATATGGTGAAACCCCTACTTAAAAAAAAAAAAATACAAAATTAGCCAGACATGGTGGCACACACCTGTAATTTCAGCTACTTAGGAGGCTGAGGCAGGAGAATCACTTGAATCTGGGAGGCAGAGGTTGCAGTGAGCTGAGATCATGCTGTTGCATTCCAACCTGTACAAGAGTGAACTCCATCCCTCCCACCCAAAAAAAGAATATTTGAGCCACAGAATATTATTTTGTAAAATCCATAGATTTTATTATTTTGTGTTATATAAGCTCTGGCTTTCAAAAGAATTATAGTAATACAGATTTATAGATTATTAAGCTGTTGAAGTTGTTCAGTCATTTGTGTGTAAATATGACATCATACAATGGTTAACAGCTGAGAAGATTATGATAGACAATTTTTGAGTTGTATTATATCACTTGGTTATACCAAAAGTTGTTTTATATCCTTCATTGTCACAGTTAAAGATTCCATCCTCAACTAAACTGTGACTGCGTAATGAGTATAATATCTTCTTTAAAATGTCTAGCAGAAGTGTAATTTAAACTCTTGAGTGATTCTTTCTGAGCAAAGGCAATGAATTCAAGAGTCAGGGTCAGAAATAGTAATAGACTACAGATAGTAAGCATACAGAAGAACACTCTACTGCCATACTTAGGATGGAAAGGACTATAAGTTGCTCTTTCAGTTATCACTGTCTGTAGCCATTTTCAAATGCAGGGAGCCATATCATAAAAATTTAAAGGTAAAATTGTTGCAGTTAACTTTTTTTAAAAAAGGCTAATCTCGCCAGGTGCAGAGGCTCAAGCCTATAATCCTAGCACTTTGTGAGGCTGAGGCAGGTGGATCACGAGGTCAAGAGATAGAGACCATGGCGAAACCCCATCTCTACTAAAAAATACAAAAATTAGCTGGGCGTGGTGGCGCGCACCTGTGGTCCCAGCTACTCGGGAGGCTGAGGCAGGTGGATCACGAGGTCAAGAGATAGAGACCATGGCGAAACCCCATCTCTACTAAAAAATACAAAAATTAGCTGGGCGTGGTGGCGCGCACCTGTGGTCCCAGCTACTCGGGAGGCTGAGGCAGGAGAATTGCTTGAACCTGGGAAGTGGAGGTTACAGTGAGCCGAGATCACGCCACTGCACTCCAGCCTGGTGGAGTGCACTCCAGCCTGGTGGAGTGCAATACCCCTGCAAGGGCTAATACCCCTGGCAGCAGAGCAAGACTCTGTCTCAAAAAAAAAAAAAAAAAAGGCTAATCTCCTTTATTTATCACAAACCTTTTGCATAGACCTTTTAAATACACAAAACACTGACCAGAACTCTGCTTACAGACTATCATCTTTCATTATCACCATATTACAGTTAACTTTATAAAATTGATTCATACTTAACAATTTCTTTTCTCCACAATGAGTTGTATTTAGACACACTTTTGGGATATGGGAGAAAAAGAATGTGAGTTTCTATTTATTTTAGGTAATCTATTTGACCCACCCCTTTAACCTCAACCCTTAAACAAAATGAGTATCCATTTCTTAAGTCAAACAAAGAGCTCATAAAGGTGACAAATTCCTTATTGAATCATCCACTGACCTTAGGGACATAGAGAAGTGAAACACATAGCCCATGCCCACCATCTTTTATGTAAATATTATCCCTGTTGCTAACATTGTGTCAGGTCATAGAAAAGAGTCAGTAACTATTGTTTAATGGTGAGTTGCTTTCCTTTATTCTCTTTTTTTGTAGTCAATTTAGTATTTTGTTGATTATTAAAAGTAATTATCATTTGCTTTTAACAAATAACATTGTTGATGTTGGCATTTTCTAATTAGAACATTACCATTTTCTAAATAGTCCATTAGAGTTGCTTATGTTGTTCACAAGGTTAGTCAATATAAGCAAACTCTACTGATTTACTAATTATTTAAAAATTGACAAAAAATGTATGCTTCTTTGATATAAAAATAGAATTACTAAATAGTATGAGACTGATAAAATGCTGTGGTTAAATTGTTAATTACTTAAAATATTTGAGTAAAAAGTAATTACAATCTGTAATTTTGAATTGAAATATATTCAGTTTCAATGTTTACCTTGTAACAGTGCATCTTAAATGTATCTTCAGAAAAGCAAAAGGAAATGTTAAAAGTGAAAATTTTAAAATTTGGTGTTTTGTTATATACTTGGGATTTTTAAACTTTGGTATCTTATGTCTCAGGGCTGAAGTTATTTCATTGAAAATTTGCATCACAGTATATTCAGATATACCTTTTTAAAACAATATCTGTTACTTGGTTAAAAACACAAAGATTAAAAGCTAGCACT